ACCAAAACATAGCTATAGTTGATTTTCTTAATATTACATAAGTAAGGTAATGAGTACATTTCTTTTTAAACATTGTACCCTCTCCCTCATTTTCTCCCGTTTATCCCTCCCTACAGCCCTATACAACTATACAACTTGGAGATGGGATTCCAAGTTGTATACTTCATTTCTAACAGTGTCAAGTGAGTATCATTCTTGCATTAGTCCATCCTTTATCCTGCTGTTTCTGTAAGTCCCTTTCCCTTCCACGGACAAAGGGAACAGAAAAATAAAACAGAGAAGGAAAAAAATGAAATAACTACATACAGGACACAACAAGAACCTCGTTTCCAAATCTGTATGTTTTTATTGAATAGTTTGTGCAAAGGAGTTTCAATTTCAGAAGACAGGTTATATGAGATTATAGGAGTACATGCATTTTTATCAATATCACCCCTTCTATCTTTCTCCCCCAGCTTTCCTCATTTTATCCATACTGTTAAGTTATGTAATTCCATTTTCACATAATGTACATTGACTATAATGACTGCACCTACTATCTTTTCTCTCTCCATTCATGAAGCCTCAGTTGGCTCCCACAGTGTCTTTATTATAATATTCTCGATAAATACTTAAGGGTGCTATCACTGAATCATTAAGTGAATTTTTTTAGTTGATTTTCACCTGTTAAGATAGGTTTGATTGGATCTTGACCTCTTAGGGTAGCTGAATAACTCAATACTCTGCCCTGTTTTATAAGTCATAGGGATATTTTCTGCCTCATAGAATATTTCTTATGAAAGTTATCTTTGGAAATAGTTCATTCTTCATAGAGTATAGCTATGACCTCAGAACCTATCAGTAGTGATTTTGACAAAATATCCACATATCTCAAAATGATCTGCACATTCAATACAATCTCTATCAAAACTTCAATGTTTGCTTATTATGTTACTGTGATAAATTACCAGTTGTCTCAAGTGAAAATAGTAAATGGAACTTCCTTATATTCTGTATAATTTAAGGAAATGTATTATTTTCATGTTTTTCTAATTATTTTCATACTGTGGTTTGGTTAAGTTTTGATTCTGCTTTTTTGTCCACAAAATGAATAGAGGGTTCAAATAGAACAGTACATTTAAAAGTTAAATCTAGTGCAACTCTTTAATGCAAGATTTGGGGAGGGGATAATTTTTTGAATTATCTTTAAATAGTTGTACAAAGATGTTTCAGTTCAGTATATCCATATGTGAATACCATGAATTTTGGTCATTGTCACTTCTTTCATTATGCTTCCTCCTCCATCTATTCGAATCCACCAGCTTGTAGGTTTGAACCTGAGCAATGGTAGCAACACCCATCCTCAAACATAAATATGATAGCATAAGATTCCATAGTTTATACTGAAAAAAACAGATAAATGACACAATCCAGGAAGACATTTCATCTCTGAAGTGTCTACTAGTCTGGTTTTATGATCAAACACCAAATTTATATTTAAAATCAGACAGAAGAGAAAAGCATTGGTTCAAATCTGTAATTATTTTGGTTCTTATTCATTTTTTGCTCCCCCCAAATACTGTGAAATTCTAGCTTTTCCCCCTGAGAAAAGTGGTTCTATGGTTGACAGTTAGCAATATAAATTTTATTTTATGCATGAACAAAGATCAAACCATTTGGTTTTGTATTCATCTGTGACTGGTGACTTTAATAAATGCCAGGTTGGTGAGAACAAAACTGTCTAGGTCTGATTCTTCTTCAGATCAATGTGTATTAAATTGATGGTTAACACAGATTAATATTTAACTTATCTTTTTCATGTAAGACTTTATTTTTTTAAAAGGTAAAATTGCCTAAATCTGTGTTACTAACCCATTTAGTTTGTGACTTCATATGTAGGAATAGAATTGTCAAGAAATACACAGTACAGTTCAGTTTCTTAGAGTCAGTTCCAGGCTTATGGTAACGTGGTTCATATGATTCTATTTTTATGGTTACCTCTATAAACGATAACCATATTATCATAGTTCTTAGCTGTGCACTGGAGGACAGCATCAAATCCCATTCTGAGTGAGTCCAAATTTAACCTTGAAACTCTAATTAAAATCAGAACATTCATACCATGTTTAACATTTATTCATTTTTGTATTGCACGTGCTTACACCAAAGCTTGAACTCGGGGTCTCATTATCTCATTCAGCTTGTTTTCTCATGGTTGATGCTCTACCACTTTTTTTTTTTAATTGTGAAAATACTTTACAGAGGGGTTACAATTACATGGGCAAGATAATGAGTACATTTCTTATCAAGCATTGTAGCCTCCTCCTTTGTTTCCCCTTCCCATTCCTTCCTCCTCCCATCCCCCTACCCAACCCTCCTCCCCCCCCCCCACCAAAGTTGTAAAGTTTGTTTTCGACATAACTACCACTTGAACCATATATTCCAGCATTTTGCTGGTTTATTAGAGATGGAGTCTTGGAGACTATTCTTCCTGGGTTGGTTCTTCTAATTAACTTTTTGAGAGATGGACCAACCAGTGTTATTTGATTTGTCCTCTAAAGTCAAGTAAGAGAAACACTGTACATATGCATTGTAAATTGATTCTAAGTAGCTCATTAAGAGGAACTTATTAAATTGATGCTTACTGTAATACTTGTAGGAATGCTGTTTTCCAAGTTAAATTTCCAGAATAAATTTTATTTATTGATTAGGATCTCATTCTTTTCTAATTAATGTAATGAAGCTGAAATTTGAACTATAACTATATACATTTTGATATACTGACATGTGAATTTGATTTTAGAGTGATACCAAAACAAACAGAATATTAGACCTTAGAGTTATTTTGGATTATTTAATTTTTTCTCTTATCAACAAGGATCTAGTGCACCATTAGGTAAATGACCATTGCCTCGAGCACTAGGATAATAATTCTGTTCAGCTAATTTCTTACTTTCATATAAATGTGGATTTTCTTTATTAATTAATTAATTTTTTTTGTCAGTCGTGGGGCTTGAAATCTTGGCCTGGGCTCTATCTCTCAGCTCTTCAGCTCAAGGAAAGCATTCTACTTTGAACCATAGAGCTACTTCCAGTTTTCTGAGTGGTTTATTTGAGATAAGAGTCTCATGGACTTTCTTGCCCAGGCTGGCTTTGAACCATGATCCTCAGATCTCAGCCTCCTGAGTAGCTAGGATCATAGGCGTGAGCCACCGATGCTGGGCTAAATGTGAATTCTAAAGCAAGGGGAATTGTGTGTGGACTTTACAGGACACAAAAGAGATACATGCCTATGATGTCCTGAGTCACTGGGCTTACTTCCTGAAGCTGAAACCATAGCTGATAAGTCTGAACACTATGTCTTGTGATACTGTTGCCAGTACTCCCATGCCTTTCTCTTCCTGTTTCTATGCAATGTAACTCTGACTGGGTCAGTGACTTGGGTTTCCTTTGGGAAAGACATGAGTAGTAGATGACTATTATTCTTGATCAGTATGTCTGACTGTAACCTATAACAGATACATGCAGGAAGGAACTGAGGTGGGCCTTTGGTTCAGTACATGTTCTTTGGGCTCTTTGAATGTGTCCAGTATGGAGAGTAAAAGTTAATGGGCAAGTTGAATTAAATTACAGCCAGTGGGGCTGGGAAGGTGGCTCAGTGGTAGAACGCTTGCATGAGGCCCTGGGTTCGATTCCTCAGCACCACATATGCAAAAAGAAAAAAGCCGGAAGTGGTGCTGTAGCTCAAGTGGTAGAGTGCTAGCCTTGAGCTGAAGAGCTGAAGGACTGCGCCCAGGCCCAGAGTTCAGGCCCCACGACTGGACCCAAACAAACAAACAAACAAAACAATAAATTACAGCCAAACTCAAACTGAGTCAACTTGAAAATGGAGGCAAATGTTTCTCCTGTAAGACTACCCAGAAATTAGGGATGTGAAGGGTAAACAAAGGAGGAGGCTGCAATGCTTGATAAGAAATGTACGCATTATCCTGCCCATATAATTGTAACCCCTCTGTACAGTATGTACACAAAAAAATTAAATTAAATTAAATTAAAAAAAAGACTACCCAGAAATTGGAGGTGTGGCTCTACAGACCAACAGTTGAACATTATCAAAATCAGTTTGCATATTTTAAAATACATATGGTCGTAAGAGCCTTCCCTGTAGTTGTACATATCAATGATGATGTTCACTCATGTTCATCATTATGTACTGTTATGATTATTAGTACTATAATATTATTAACAACTACAACAGCTAGAACATAAAAACTACTTAAATAAGTATAAAGATTCCTTGCCAGAGGTTTATAATTAAGTAGCTTTCTCTCTACTCAATGACACAACAAGTGATAGGGCTTTACAAATGGTTTGAAAGAAACTATAAAAGCTCCATGCTGTGTTTTTGTTACAATTCCAGGCTTTGTGGGAATTAAAACTACTTATTAGATGGGACATCTTAGACAAATTATTTAATTTTGTGTTCCTCAACTATCTCATCCATGAGATGGGAATAACACAGAGTTCTTGTGAAGATTGAATAAAATTGGACCAATGTGGAAGACATAAGTATTCAAATATCCTTTGTTAAACTATAAATGTATTGGATTCTTATAACTACCTTGTAGAAGAAGAATCATAATTATCTTCATTTCATGAATACTAGGACTAAAGTTTATGATTGTGCTATGATATGGGAAAAGTAAATCAAAAACCTTTTCCCCATAATTCCTTCTTTCTCTTCCTTAGATTTGGATGTGATATTTCCTGCTTAGTAGTAGTCTGATTCCTTTTTCATTTTCTCACCACTCTATCCTACCTCCCTGCACTTGTAAGAAAGTACTCTCTTACATATATTACTCCCACTGAAATAAAATCAAACTGTGTTTCTATTTGCTTTCATGACCAAATTTCTAAAGTCTTTACTTAAATCTTCATCTTTGAGAAATTGTTAGGGTCAAGGAAATGAAAGCCAGTGTTTACAATATGTGTTTATTGGACTTTTCTTTATCATCTTTCAGGTCTTGTAGAAATTTGTCTGATGCACCCCCTCGATGTAGTGAAAACCAGGTAAGGTTCTGCATGAGCAAGTTTTATTGACTTTGGCAGATATCCAAATTAAGATCTGTCAGATCTTATGCTAGAACATGTCCCAGGATGGTAGCTTCTCCCTACAATAGCATTTATACTTGCTTTTTAAAGAAAGTACTATTTGACAGATAAAATGTGAGCAGTGAAAAGCATTTCTGAGTGAGTAGAGGTCATCTGAAGGTATTCAATATTTTACTGCTTTCACATGACAACCATAAGGTATGATTTGTGGCTATACTAGCAAATGGGATAAATTTATCAAAATGATATAAAAACTAAACTTTATTCAGTGAGTTATGATAGAAGATTTTCATTTGGCACTGCATATTATACATTGATTTTTAATAGCATTTTGGTGTCAAGTTTCAAATTTTTAAGTATGTTTCTTCAAGATGTTTAAAGAATTTATTCCTATAACTCTTTGCCAATGTAAAGTGATGTATTTCCAGAAAAATGCATTTGCTTTTAAAGGGAGATACAAGTCAAGGCACTATATTATTAAATGTATGTACCAAGAGCAAAAACTAAAGTAACAACTTGTAAGGTTTAATATGATCTAGAGAATGTTTTTAGAAGTTTGCCTATGATTGGATTACTGAACTCCTTATTTTTTTTCAACTTAGAATTTCTTAGAATATAGTGAAATTTTCCGTTTATCTGCACTAAATAAAACAAAAAAGCACCATGCCTCGGCTGGAGTATAATAGACAGTGCTATGAAGCTCTGGTATTTGAACAGATCATTACTGCTCTAGTTAGGAAACACTTGATGAGTCAGACTGTCCATATGGTGGATATTTTCTTTAGTCTGCTAAAGAATGTGACTACATTTTCCTCCTAATGACTACATACACAGATGAGTAGCAGAAGAAAACAAAGATGAAAAGTAAAACGCATCCATTAAAGTATGTGGATTAATCATATAGAAGAAATATTTTGATGGAAATTAAAAGTTGGCACCTGTATTTGATGTTGGTATAATTTGGGGAGCGAAAGGGAAAAAACAAATTGTTTAAATAGGGATACAGGTTGACCCATTGCAACAATGAAATGTACAAAACGCTATGTTAGTTGTGGAGATAGGAGGGAAGGGATGGTAGGGGAAAAACAAAGAAAGAGGCAACAATGCTAGATAAGAAATGTACTCATTACCTTGCTTATGTGATTGTAACTCCTCTGCACAGTATTTTCACAATAAAAAACTTACTAACAAAAATAAAAGTTGGCATCTAAGATATGTTTACAACCACATGCTTCAGCTGTTACTAAACATATTGAGTTTGAAGCCAGTCCAGTATGACCAAGTGGGAATATATACTTGAGACTGTCCTTCATTTGTTTGCAAAAAAAAAACCTCTAAGCCAATAGGAAATGTAAGAGGAGATCATTTTTAAAAAGGAATAAATTCATATCAAGAAACACTATTGTCTATTAACAGAGAGAGAGAAACAAAAGTATTTTTTGAAGAAAGTTTAGGAATAAATTTTTTGAATCAATTATCTTTATTCAGTAAAGGGAAAGATTTGGCACAAATAGAATGCAAGAAAAAAAGTACTTGAATCCAAGAATTCAACGCAATTATTTTTGTAAATTTATTTTTTATTGTGAAAATACTGTACAGAGGGGTTACAATTACATGGGCAAGATAATGAGTACATTTCTTATCAAGCATTGTAGCCTTCTCCTTTGTTTCCCCTTCCCAACCCTTCCCAGCCTCCCGCCACCCCTCCACCCAATCCTCCCCCCCAAAGTTGTAAAGTTCGTTTTCAACATGACAACGTGTACTTCTCATTGTTGCAACGGGTCCACCTGTATCATTATTTAAACGACTTGTTTTTACCCTTCCCCTTCACAAATTATACCAACATCAAATGCAGTGAAAGCAGGGGTTATACTGTGGGGGAGGGACATACAAAGCAACTAAGAAATAATCTTATAAATCAGCGCAATTATTTTTCTATACTCTAACACATGAAAAATTGTGGGAAATGTGCTATATCCTTATTCATATTAATTCTTTATACCATCATTCAAGTAATAATATACACATCCTTAAAAAAAAACCCTAAGGTTTGACCTAGTATTCCCATATCCTGCTTTGACAATGCCTACAACAACTTAGACTCTAATACCTTTAGAATACCATGTCATTAAAAAGTGACCTGCTAAAAACGCTCCTCAATGGAAAGAACACTGCTGGAGGAATATCAATACCAAATTTCAAACTCTACTATAAAGCCATAGTAATCAAAACAGCTTGGTATTGGCATAAGAACAGACCTCAGGACCAATGGAATAGAATTGAAAACCCAGAAATGAACCTACAGACCTAGAGCCATCTAATCTTCGATAAGGGAGCTAAAACAATAGAATGGAAGAAAGACAGCCTCTTCAGTAAATGGTGCTGGCAAAATTGGTTAACTACATGTAGAAAACTAAAGCTAGATCCTTATATATCACCCTGCACCAGAATCAACTCCAAATGGATCAAAGACCTTGAACTCAAAGCAGACACTCTGAAAACATTACAGGATGGAATAGGAGAAACCCTAGGTCTCCTTGGCTCAGGCCGAAATTTTCTGAATAGAGACCCGGAAACACAACAAATCAAAGAAAGGTTGGACAAATGGGATTGCATAAAGTTGCCGAGCTTCTGCAGGGCAAATGACATAGCTAGCAAGATCAATAGAAAGCCCACGGATTGGGAGAAGATCTTTACTAGCCATACAACGGACAAGGGTCTCATATCTAAAATATACTTGGAACTCAAAAAATTAAACCACCCAACAACAAATCCTCAAAGAAACAACTGCCCAATAAATAAGTGGGCGAAAGACTTAAAGAGAAGCTTCTCTGAAGAAGAAAGAAGGATGGCCAATAGACACATGAAGAAATGTTCAAAATCCCTAGCCATAAAAGAAATGCAAATCAAAACAACATTGAGATATCACCTCACTCCAGTTAGAACAGCAAAAATCAAGAACTCTAACAACAACAGATGCTGGAGGGGATGTGGACAGAAAGGAACCTTACTTCATTGTTGGTGGGAATGTAAACTTGTTCAACCACTTTGGAAAGCAGTATGGAGGTTCCTCAAAAGACTTCACATAGAACTCCCCTATGACCCAGCAATCCCACTTTTGGGCATTTACCCAAATGTTTACAAACAAGACCACACTAAAGCTACCAGCACAACTATGTTTATTGCAGCATTATTTACCATAGCTAAGATATGGAACCAACCCAGATGCCCCTCAGTAGATGAATGGATCAAGAAAATGTGGTATATATACACAATGGAATTCTACGCCTCCATCAGAAAGAATGACATTTCCCCATTTGTTAGGAAATGGAAAGGCTTGGAAAAAATTATATTAAGTGAAGTAAGCCAGGCCCAAAGAAACATAGGTCCCATGGTTTCCCTTATTTGCAATATCTAGTATATGTATGAATCAAGCAGAAAAGGTCAGATAATGTGATGTCAGGAAAATGAACCCTTAGATATGTATTTTAATGTTTTTTTTCTTTCATGCATGTGTTTCTAAGGCATTTATAAGATTATCTCCTTTGTTGCTTTGTATGTCCCTCCCCCACAGTATAACCCCTGCTTTCACTATATTTGATGTCAGTATAACTTGTGGAGGAGATGGGGAAAAACCAGTTGTTTAAGGATACAGGTGGACCTGTTGCAACAATGAGAAGTACAAGTTGTTATGTCCAAAACGAGCTTTACAACGTCGGTCCGGGGGGGGGGGGGGGGGGGGGGGAGGGGGGAGAGGAAGGAGGGGTAGGAGAAGGATTGGGATTGGGGGGAGGGGCGAGGCTGGGAAGAGAGGTGAAGGAGGCTGCAATGCTTGGTAAGAAATGTACGCATTATCCTGCTCATGTAATTGTAACCCCTCTGTACAGTATGTTCACAAATAAAATTAAATTAAATTTTAAAAAAAAGTGACCTGCTAAAACCAGGGTTTTTATTTATGTATTATCTCTTATAGTTCCTTTTATTTTAATCAAAACAGTAATAGATACATGGCATAAAATTCTTATGGGTACACAGTGGCTGTTATCTATAATCCTAGCTACCCTGGAAGCTCAGATCTTAGGATAGCAGTTCGAAGCCAGACTAAGTAGGAAAGGCCATGAGAATCTTCTCTCTAGTTAACTACCAGAAAGCTAGAAGTGGAGCTGTGCCTTGAGTGGTAGGGAAATAGCCTTAAGTAAAAAGCTCAGCGTAGCATCTGCACCTTGAGTTTAGGTCCCAACCCTGGCACAAAAATAAATAAATGAATTATTCACTAAACAGTTTCAATCAAGATAGCCCAGCTTATGCATCAAAACTCAGTGAATCACAGGATTTTCCTCATCTCCCACTTCATGTCGAATATGAGTATAGGTTAATTCATTCAGTGTGCTACAGAACAGCAGAAATTTATTTCTCAAAATTACAGAAGCAATATATCCAAGATCTAGGCATCTGAAAATGTGTTGTCTTGTGATGATCTGTTTCCTGGTTTACTTACTCACCCTGTACTCATGTAGCTGAGGGGGGCCACACAGAATCTTAATATGTATCTCTTTTATCAGGGCACTAATGAGGTTTCCACTCTCAGAACCTTGTCAATTCCCCAAAATTCCATCTCTAACACCATCCCTTTGGAGATTAGGATTTCTACATCTAGATTTTAATAAAGGACACATACAGAATACAACTATGAAAGACTGCTTACTGAAGTCATGCAGGTTGACTACAGAAGATCCACTTTTATCCATGATTTCACCATTCTTAGGCCAAGAAGTACATAGCTGGACGGACTCATACTGACAAGTACAGCTCTGATCAAAAGTGTCATTTTTCTGCTGGAAAGATGGCTTAGTAGTAGAGTGCTCACCTAGCATGCAGGAAGTCCCAAGTTCGATTCCTCAGTTCCACATAAACAGAAAAATCCAGAAGTGGAGCCATGGCTCAAGTGGTAGAGTGCT